AGCAGCAGCAGCAGCAGCAGCAGCTGTTGCTGTTGCTGCTGCTGCTGCTGCTGCTTCCTTCGTTTCTGCTGCAGCTTTCGTTGTCTGCGGGTGCAGCACCTTTGCTGCTGCCTGTAAGATACGTGCTGCTCCCGCTGCTGCTGCTGCTGCTGCTGCTGCTTCTGCTTCTGTTGCTGCCGCTGTTGCTGCTGCAGCAGCAGATGTTGTGTCTGCTGCCTCATCTGCTGTTGATGTCTCAAGGTCCTCAATGCATGCGTTTGTCTCCTTCTGAGCTCGCACCTGCTGCTGCTTCTGCTGCTGCTGCTGCTGCTGCTGCTGCTGCTGCTGCAGTTTGGGTTTTCTGTGTATTTCTTTCTTGGGCTGTATGTACATTGCCTTCGACCCAACAGCAAGAGAGCAGCAACTCTCTCGTGCATGCTGCTGCTGCGGGGAGACACATATCAGCAGCGCAGCAGCAGCAGCACCGCCGCGCCCCTGCAGCGCCGGCTGCAGCAGCCGCGTCAGCTTGCTGCCTCGAAAGTTTACTGGAGCAGCAGCAGAAGGAGCAACAGCAGGTCCTCCTGCTGCTGCAGCTGGATTGGTCGTTGTCTTTGTCTCCCCTTCTTCTTGCTGTGGCAGTGCAGCATCAGCATCAGCAGCAGCAGCTGCAGCTGCAGCAGCAGCTGCAGCAGCAGCAGCAGCAGCAGCAGCAGCAGCAGCACGTTGTCTAGATACAAGAGCATCGATGCACTGACAGAAGCAAAAGAGAGACTTGTTTATTGCTGCTCCCTCCAGCAGCAAACTGCCGGCTGTCTCCGCGCTGCTGCTGCGCTCAGTACCCGCCAAATCCACCAAACGAAACACACCCCGCACACTCTCACCTGCAGCAGCAGCAGCAGCAGCAGCAGCAGAAGCAGCAGCAGCAGCAGCAGCAGCAGCAGAAGCAGCAGCAGCAGCAGCAGCAGCAGCAGAAGCAGCAGAAGCAGCAGCAGGAGGAGGAGGAGCAGCAGCAGCAGAAGCAGCAGCAGCAGTACAAGCAGCAGCAGCAGTAGAAGCAGTAGGAATAGTAGTAGTAGTAGTAGTACAAGCAGCAGTAGTAGTACCAGCAGCAGGGGAAGCAGCAGCAGCAAGAGCAGCAGCAGCAGCAGCAGCAGCAGCAAGGCTTTGCAGGACGAGAAGGCAGCAGCAGAAGAAGCAGCAGAAACTCCGACAGCACTGCAACCAGCAGCAGCACACAAAAAGCAGCAGCAGCAGCAGCAGCAGCAGCAGGAGCAGCAACAGCAGCAGCAGCAGCAGCAGCAGCAGGAGCAG